GAAAATATAATTGTCATTCAAAACATTAGTTATTTTGATTGTTTTGATGATTTTATGTGGTAACATTAATTTCCCAGACAACACACAACGTCCATTGGATGTCCAAATCTGGTTTTTATTTAGTCCGACCGTCCATGGACTTAATACGAATGTTTTAAAAACGTACGTTATTCAACGTACAAAGTATGTTCACATTTGAACATTAAAAAAATGTTCATCTCTCATACAAAAAAATTTTCTAAATCTGCTCGCGACGTGTTGCTTTCGCTGACTTGACAAGTGAAAATTTTTTTGAAACTGTATGAGGAATTTCACTTTTGTTAGTATGTACGGACATCTTTTGAACGTCCCATGGACATTGTGCTGTGTTGAAAATTTTCAACGACAAAAAATCTACCCAGATAACCAAGCGTGCGATATCCCACGATATTTTCACAAAATGCTACCATACTGTTATTGTACATGATAACTGGTACTGTGAAAGTACAGCGTATGATTTCCTAACCTGAAAATAGTCGTAATAACATGAAGATTATTAGACAGTCACTGAAGGATGTTCAGTTGAACTGCACAAATTTCTATCAGGACCATATTGAACAGATGTATCGTAATTATACATCCATGATTATATAGGTATTCGTGGATCATCGAAGTGTAGCGGTTTCCATACGATTTCAGAAGTCAAGCATAGTGGATGGCGGTATGTAACCGGATGGGTGATCACTTCGAAGCACTATGAAATTAGTTCCCGAATTTAGGGAAAAACGGTTTTTTTAAATTATAATTTTATAATGTATTATGGAATAAGATATTAATCAGTAATAATATTCATATAAGAATCATTTTGTCTTGATTGTGGTCTAAAATTTGTTTAATGTACTAATTTGGTCCAGTTTTAGTCCATTGGGTCCTAAAATGGACGTTTTTAAAAAATCCAAAATGATAACACTGGATGTTTTTAAAACGTTTTTAAAATATCCATGGATCTAATCTGGACGTTTTTAATATGTCCAAAACGTCCAACATGTACATTTTAAATACATTTTTAAAACGTTACTGTGCTGTATGGGTTAGTCATACTGCTAAGTTCTCATTTAATTTATTTTATCAATATCTGATTGTTTTTAAAAAACTACGTCTACCAAATATGTATTATTGCTATGAATTAATTAGAAGCTACTATAATATTTTCTTATTAGTAATACATTTCCGTTTGGTTTTTGTTGCAATGCATGGTAGCGCAATTAATTTCTATAAATTGCTGCAATTTGTTCTCTAACTTGTATAGATGATGCAAAAAGCAGGCACGTAATCAAGGATATTGTAACAATCGTACGCACGATCGAAGTGAATCGTGTGCCAGTGTAACTGGAGCGTAGATCATCGTGGCATATTTCTCTCCTTTCGCATGTCGGTGGACGAGCATCTCTTGCAAAATTCCACAGAGACTCTCACACCGCGTGTATGCGCCTCACCATCTCTTCGTCTTCTCCTGCCCGATCTCACCGTACTCCCTGACACGAATCGCACGCGCGGCACTTTCCCTGCCGTGGACGTTGCAGGTACACACGTAAGGTCTTTCGGGACAGATAGCCTGGCTGATACCACGCTTTCCTCCGTCTCCCACGGAATCATTTTTAATAGGTACTTTGTAGTGGAGTCATCACCGTGTTTCCGCGCGCTTCGCCATCACGCAAGTTGCTTGTATGCTAGCTTTGTATGTACGACGCGACGCTTCGCTTCTTCGCGCGATCGTCGTGTCATTATACCTTCGACAGAATTGGCACGCGGAAAAATCGCCTTTGGAATTACAAAATTATCTGCTTCTCGTTGTCTCACGCATATTTGTATGCCTAAATAATTATATCGAATGCTCAAACAAGTTGCTAGAATATGTCAAAGCTTTTTGCAGTGTTATTATTATGCTTGAAATGTTCCCACATAATTATTTTTATATAATCCAACATATTACTTTCAGATTTATATCTATATAGCTAAATTTTTACTTCAGTAAAATTATTCTTTCCGTGCAACTTCTATGTGTTTTACGAAAATATTTCTCACGCTAGAATTGAGTTTCTGCATGTTGACGCGAAAATTATCCTAAATACATTTCCCGTTTGACATGAAATATTACTTTTCTTGTTTCTCAGTTCCGTTATAAATTTGTACCTGTCTTTTTATCAGCCGCTTGTCGTTAACGTCTTCGAAGACGCTTGACAACGCGGAAATAATATATCATGTCGATCGCGCAGAATAGCAACGTCGTGAAAGAGCAATTGTCGACAATCGTTTTACGGAGATACAGTTTATGCAATCCCCGACAGGAGAAGTAAGTTGGATGTAACTTCTTATTCATCGACATTACATGGACTCGATAAAGTCATTCGACAGCTCCTCAGCATTATCGACAAATGTTTCACTTTATTGGCACTCACTCTCTTACCTAACCATTCCGAGCCCGTACCGTTTAAACGTAATATCAGCGTTTTCCCATTACCTAACGCAACGGATCTATAATTTATGAAATTTTTCCTACGCGTGCACGCGTAAATACCATAAATTGCAATATCGCGTGGAGATATACGTGAGGAATCTGGAGAAAACTTGTCCGTGGTCATGAATCATTTGTAAGTTAAATACTTAATTCGCAAAAGAAGCAATTTAACCGATAATAATTCTATCTATAGAAATGTTTGTTTTACCTGCATAAAATACAGCGTTTTAGATTTCTATATTTGTTTATCCTTTTAAACTTCATACTTTTATTTTTTAACTCTCAATAGTTAATGATATAATTTTTTAATATATTTGTGAACCAAAAGAATTTGTCCTGTTTACACAGAAAAAACTTTGCTGAAAATTTAGTTAGATACGGACCTGAAAATAATTGTGTTGGATTATTAAAATAATTATGTAGAGTGCTCAAACTGGAATGTCAAAACTTTTTACAGCATTACTCTTTATGCTTGAGATTCCTACGTAATTATTTTGATGGTTTAACTAAATTATTTTCAGATTTGTAATTAGCTAAATTTGTAGATATTTCAGCAAAATCGTTCTTTCTATGTACCATTTCTCGCGAGTATTCATTTGCCTACGACGTGCAATAAAATTTTATACGGTGACTCAATTTAACATCAACTGCACCTCGATTAATTTTTAATTTTGCGATGCCTTGATTATCCGCAACTTTGCGTGATATTACGTTACTTATTTTAGTGATTTTCGTACAAATTATTTTTGCCATTTACGAGTGAGAGCCGCGCTGCATGCGGCAAGCATGCAATCGTAAATTTGCGATGCGCATCTATTGTCTCTCCTTAGAACTTAAAATTACTCATTTATTATTCATGGAGAAAATCTGCAATCATTGTAATGATTTGTTGTCGTAAGTACAAGAGTGGCACTGCATGGAACCACCACTGATGAATGTCGCCATAAATGTCTTTGGCTGCTACCTACAAAACATGTTAATTAAGTGTTTTCGAGATAACAGTGTCTATAAATGACTCTTCGTCCAGAATGATTAACTAATCTACTAAAAACGCGTACTAAATTATTTTTTCAGTTTCTCGTTTTGGTCATAATTCGAAAGATGGCTTGTCGTGAATGAAAGAAACGTCGATCTTTCATTATTTAATTTAATGTCAAATTATACTCAATTTGAATTATTATTTAATTATTTCTATAAATCGTCGTTGCTTCTATTCAATATATCGTTAATTTAATCAAAGGCAATGGAGTTAAATAATTTAATTAGAAAAAATATATTTAATTCAACTTAAATTTACAATAATTTATTATTTATTGAGGAAATACATCAATATCATTGTTTATTTTAAAATTAACCACAGAAATGGATTTATTTATATTTTAACACACATGAAAGTAAAAAATAATAAAGTATTATTTTTAACTGAAGGGATTGGATTACCATTGCTTCTTTGATATTTAATTATGTTTAGTTAATTAAATTTAAAAATCTGACAAATTTAACGAATTTTTATAATTGACAATACAAATTGAAGCGCCTATTTTAAAGACTTGATTGCTGAAAACAACTTTTCGATCTTAACATTCCAGAGAAAATAATTAGTTGCATACCAAGCCGTGCAGATACTCATGTCTTCTCATTTTCCAGCGTGAAATCTCTCCGAAACATACAAGAATATGTTCATTTACTCAAGCGACTTACATCATTCTCTCTGTAATCAAGAAACTCGGGAAGCTCAGATGTTAATCTCAGGCATTACTCGAGCGGGAAGAGAAGCGCGAATCATCTCATGATCGTGATTGCAGGAAATACAACGAGAGAAACATACATCTTCGACATACGAGAGAAAAGAAAAAGCAAGATACCTCCGCTTCCCCCTTATCCTTCCGGATATCCTTTGCCCAGGTAGTCTGAGGAGATTCCACATCGTCTCGATGTGAACGCAAAGTCACTTTCGAATCTTTACCAATGGCCAGATCCTTCTCTCTCTCTCTCTCTCTCTCTCTCTCTCTCTCTCTCGCTGTTTTTTCTCTTCCCCTACCTCTTTCTCACTCTCTTTTTCTCTTTCGTAACACGATGCCCTTTTGCGATGCGGTTCTTCTTCGCGTGGGAATTTACATGTTCAGATGAAGAAGTCTCCTCTCCTCTCCCCAGGCAAGGCTAATGCGATACCTGCTAGCTCGCAGGTTCGCGAGTGAAAGGAGAAAGGCGCCAATCTCTCAAAACGTCGACGAAGAGAAAGAGAAACGATCGGATGTCTTCAGGAGATACAGCGACACGGAAAAAACCGCGCGAATCGACTCGAGGGACAAGCTTGCCTCCGAGGAGCGGTCATGAGGTCATCGAATGGAGGAACGTAGAACCATGATAGAATTGCGATAATCGTGATCGTCGACAGCGATTGACAGACGAAAGGTGAGATTGGGAATAGCAAGGAAGAGGTCAGCGAATACGCCGGAAGCGAAGCGCTTCGCTGCACGACAAAGAGGAGAAGCACACGGGGTTTTCAACGGTGGCGACGTTCTTTTTTTATTATTTTTTCTACAAAAAAAGCCTTTATACAAGTACAAAAAGATGCGTGGTTAAAGAGCGTTATGTATAAAAAATAGTGTGTATTTGTGGCGTCGGATGTACGTGTTGCTCGGACACGGCGGCATCCGCTTTGTAATCCGGATCGCTCCTTGTGCCAGATGAATCTTTTCTTTCTTCTTACGGACAGATAGAGGTCGATATTCCTGTGCGAAATCGACTTTACTTGCGCGTAATGACTCTGGGTATCCAATTCTTCCGAGTTCTTCTTCAGGGTTGAAAAAGAAACAGTTCGGAAGCCATCATCTTCTCTCACGAACCAGAAACTGACTCTGGATGTCCCGGATTAAGGATTTCGGTGAGACGATTCTTCGACGGAAGAGCTGGTCCGCGTTATAACAGCGAACGCCGCGGTACAGCGACGTATTTTTATTTACAAGGCGCGTTGATACCGCGCTGATCACGTCTTCGGCTTGTCGGCCTCCTCCTCCTAGTCCTCCCGCTCCGTCCTTTCTATTGTAATATGAGTGCCCTGACGAAAGCGAACGCAATTCGTCGGGGATGAAGTGTGAAGTGTGTTTGCGTCAACGACTACGCTTGTCCCCCCTTGACTATCACTGTTCCTCGATTTTTCGATACGCGGAGACGACCGCGATGATTGATGCGATTTTGGTACGATAGACTTCGGCACCGCTCCGACCGCCCAAGATCATCTTGAACGACCCTGTCCCTTCCGGAAATGGAAGGGAAAAAAGGGTCGAAAAAGGTAGGAAACTGGGCCACGTTCACTCCCGCGGACCCCGCGGACTTGTCAAAGCGACGACCGTTGGATTCTCGACAAGTCAAGGGGCCCGGGGGAAAGATGCTGGTCCACGTATACTCGGCGTTACTCTTTTGGTGGATTCCAGAAGACCCTGATCCGTTGAAGCGACGACTATTTTTTATCCCCAACGGACCAAGCGTCATCCTGTTGGTCCCCGTTTCCGTTTCTCGCGTGTGTCTTCGTCCTGACTGGCCCGATCCATTGACATTGATTAGTCAAAGGACGTGTTCTGAAGTCACGAGGTAAGCCGAGTAACGCGGATAACACGACGATTCAACTCCTTTCGGACAATCTTCGAATATTGATCTACGTGAAGCGATTCCGCGCGACGATTTGACTTGCTGGCATCGACGACCTTCCGAGTTGCGAGCCCAAGGAATGTGTCACTTTGAGAGAAACTGGTGATAAACAGTTGTGATCTTCTTTTCCAAATATGTCAGATCTTCTCCGTGAGTCTTCTATGCGTTGGCGAGTTTCGGCTGCGTCGAAAATCTCGGAAAGTAGTCGTTGTCGTCGGCCGGTGCCATTATCCACTCTTTCTCTCTCTCTCTCTTTTTCTCTCTCACATTCTCTCTCTCTTTCTCTCACTCATTCTCTCTCTCTCTTTCATCATCATCAGTATCATCCAGACCAAAGTGATTTCTTAGAACGGCGCACCGTAGTTACTGGACGGCCTACTAGGTGCTCCATAACTGCTGCTGGGCGCTCCGTAGCTAGTGCTGGGTCCGCTGGGGTAGCCTCCGGGGCCTTGGCTGACCTGATTGAATTGGGCCACCTGGATGGCTTGCCTGATGCCTTCAAGATCGATGCCTACAACGCGGGTCTGATAGCTGGGCACGCCGTATTGCGTCGACGGGGCACCGTATTGCTGCGACGGTGCTCCGTAGCTAGAGCTAGGAGCGTATCCGCCTCCACCAAATCCGCCAGACTGTTGGGACTGTAGTTCCTCCTTCAG